CAGTAACTTATCCAGGTTCCAATTTTGTACCTGGGTTTGCACAAAACTGCAGTGAAATTTTCACGGGAAAGAGGTTCGATTTTCAGGAAGGAATTTATGAAATGTCAAAAATATCTCGGCCTCCTAGTGACGTCAGCGGAATGGTAATAAAGTAGCTGTGAAGGAAAAGTGATTGGAAGAAAAAATTCATTCACTTCAAACGCAGCATTTTTGCTCGAAAGTAGTTGCTGCAGCAGTTCTATTGAAAAAAAAATTCACATAATTTATAATCGGTCAGTAGTCATACGGTAATATTAAAATTCAAAATGGGCCGTTTACTGACCTCGTCGAATTTATTCGCGAAATAAATCCACCTCTTATCGAACACTTAACCAATTGTGAAAATTGCATTGTTTTCCTCTGGACTTTGCAGCCAAATTTGTATTTGTTTTCTTAAAAACCGTTACAGAAACTAGGACAGATCACGTACACGTGACTTCACGTGGAAGAATATTTGCAAACAAATAGGTACTGTGCCTTAAACATCATTCCTGTCCATATTTTAATCGGTTATATGGATTATATGAAAGCCGTTTAATTGTTTACTTTTGAAGTAAGATTTTTGGCAATAAACAAATTCAAGAGCTTTTAGAGAAAATCAAAATTCACAACGTTATAATTTGAATTCATCTAAAGTATTTAAACAAATATAGTTATTTCATAAATTAAGTAAAATTAAAAAGCAAATCTATCCTTGTAACAGGCCGTGGAGGCCCATAGGGTTGTGAGACGTCGAGGCTCCCACATTTTCTAAACAATCGGCTCACAGAAGGTGGTAAGGTTGTCAGCTTTACGCACCAGCCGTCCTTTACCCCCAGGAAGATTCCTGATACTCATTTCCGTTAGAGGCTGAGTCGACCGCCAGAGCCATAGAGGGGCTGGAAGGATAAGATCAACTGAAAAATCCAATGACTTAATCGGGAATCGAACCCGCGAGCTTCCGGCTTTTAACATAGTGCCTCAACTAACTACTCTACCGCGTTTTACATATAAGAAATTCACATTTCATTTTGTGACGATATTAAAGTTCAGATGAATTAGGAATTAAAATTTTGTTGATATAAAAATATTTCTCGGAAGTTTTCTTTCTCCTCTCGTCCTTCTCTTTCTATTTCTAAAATAATCAACGTGTGTTCTGTAACTGAGGTAAATTCGATCAAATTTTGCTTAGCTCTAAGGAATATTTCATTGAACTTAAAGTAGTTTACGATTTATTTATACTTTCTTCGTACTAAGTTTACTATGCATTATTTCCAATGACGCCCATTGTGGTAAAATGTTGCCCCTGTGCTTAATTAGTTAAACACTATGCCCGCAAGACATTGGGGAGTGGAGGTATAGCTCCACTTTCCTGGCGTCGGTACTAGATATAGATTGGACATCTTCACCCCCCTCCCTCTTTATTCACGGGGAAGGAGCCCCGGGCAAGGCCTGGAAGCTGTGGAGAAGAAAGAATCTTACATTGCCGAGAATAGAACCCGGGCCGTCCAGCCCATAGGCCGTCACTATACTAACTGAGCTTTCCCGATTAAAGAGGATATAGTCCCACATTGATACTAACTGCGAAATTTATCGCAATGTAATTTCACATTTATATTCACTATGGAAATTATAGCAAAGTAACTCCACAGCAATACTAGCTACTGACGTAACAGCAACGTAATTCTGAAGTGACAGTGAATGTTGATTCGACGTAATACATGACCGCTGTGAACTTAACAGCAAAGCAGTTGCCCGGTAATAAGTGAAACTGATCGAAATATAATTTCACGCTGATACTTGCACTTTTAATGTAATTTTATGGAATTGGGGTTCTTAGAGGCACTGCAGATGCTGAACAATTATTACCAACTGACGGATAGCATGTAAAGCGGATAGCACTGACACATTCATATGGATAAATCAGTAATATTTTTGACAATTTTTCATATTATTGTGATATTAATTCTCTGGGGAATTACCGAGTCTAATTAAAACTGATGCCACTCACTGTAGCCGAGAGGTCTTCGCTCGCTCGGAAACCGGGATTATGGGTTCGAATCCCACACAATGCATGGATGTTTAGTATGTGTATGTTTATTCTGTGTACAGGTAGAGGCCTTCCAACGAGCTGATCACCCACCCAAGGAGTTCTACCGTCTGTAAAATTATCATGAAACTGAGAAATCACCCCTGTGCTCCACAGTGGGAGCGAGAGGAAAAAAATTAAAACTGATGACAGTAGGAAGGGGGGGAAATGATTATCGAAGATGAAATTAAAGAAGAGGGATATTTTTAACAATGCTTGATCCCTTTTTGCCCTAAGAATATGTGACGTTCTTCATGTGCCTTATTCCAAACGGTTTCCGAGATGAAGATATTTCACTGTACATTTCCAAAATTGTTGTTAAGAAAGAGATATTACGTACTGTTTCTAATACAGGTATTAATTGTTCAAGTGACAAAGTTGGTACAGTTTACCTAGAGTAATACATTTCCAAAAATTCCACCGTCAACATCAAATCACTTTGCAACTCGTGTGAGGACATGGCGTGTTGCTAGTCTATACAGTCTTTGTCTATACTTCAATAAATTCATGTAAAAGATTTCTTGGATAGAATTTTTCGGCGCTTCCTTTCAGGTTTTGCTTCGGCATACAAACACCAGTTCTGTTTTTCTATCACTCCCAATTGTGTCTGTCGTTTGTTCAATTTAAAGCCATCTACGATAATTCTAATAGCATTAAAACTTATATAAACAAACCCGGAGGGATATAAAACTGATAATTTCTATTACAAAAGCGGCAGCCACTTTCACAAATGTTTACTTTATAAATTACTTACGCTTAATACATTATCGATTGACAGGTTTACGAAAAGACGCTGATGATGTTTATGGTAAAGAACTGGGGTATGAGCTACGGACGCAAGAAACGTAAATCGACTAACTTCGTTATCCATTACACGATTTCTCATCGAGGAAGGGAGGCCTGTGTATCTGCCCTGTAGCCAAGAGCATATATCTGACTCATGTGACGTTTTAAGGGGATGTGGAGTGTGTTTTTGAAGGCTGTTTAACTTCACATCTGAATTATAATAAATCAGAAAAATTGATTTCGAAAAATATAATATGAACATTTCCGTGAACGCTTTCATGTTATTAATTTCAACTGAAACAACTTTGCGACCAGTCTCAGTAGGAAATTCAGCTCAGTTCGTGACTTCACAGACCCTGAAAACATGAACAGATCTACTAAAGGCAGAATTAAACTGGCCTTATGCTTAATTACACACTAAGACATGAAGGCCTATAGAGAAATAAGGGTGTATCTGCACGCATTCATTTAGCCGTTTATTTTACGTAGCTATCAGAAACTAGACCATAAAACGTCAAATGTTAGGATCATTTATCATGAGAATGACGAAGGATTTGGAAGGAAGCGTTCATATCTGCTCCAAATGTTCTCCGGGAGCGACTGAGGGAAACCACGAAGAACCACGGTCATTATGGTCTGTGTTCTGGCCGAGATTTGAACCCAGCACTTCCTGTGTACGAGTCTAGAGCGTTAACGCTGCGCTAAGCGGCACGATCAATGGTTATTATTTCATTGGTGGGGTTAAGAAACGGGGGAGCCCGACCCTCATCCACTCTAATCAGTTCGTGCAAGTGATCACGTGCTTCGGTATACCAAAACAGTGAAAGTGGAGTCCGTCGCGGTGAGGAGTGCTACTAACAATGATCCAAAATTGAGGTGTTCGTTAGTTCAAAAGTGAATTTGTCCTCGAGGTTATTCACAATGCCTTGAAGGTGTAGAGCGAAGTGGAGGTAAAGGTACACACATACTTAACCTCGGAAATAGATTTTGTAGAGGAAAGAGCATACAGTATCCATTTGAGAGGACACGGGGTGAACCCAAGAGCCAGCTAAGTTGTGGTTGCGAGAAAGTCCTGCCAGGAACCGAACCCTGGCAGTCCAGCACGCAACCGGTTACTTTAGCGGCTGAGCTGCCGAGGCTTATACGTTACGGTAGTCGGTAGGGTAAGTGTAAAGGTAAAGTTATCCCTGCACTTAATTATTTAATCAAACACCACGGCATGAAGGCGTATAGGGGAGTGGAGGGACAGCTCAATTATTCTTAACTTCGGCATTTGGCGAGTGGTTAGCTTCACCCCAGTACCCATTGCCAAAGCCAGCTTGAACGCTATGGAGGAGATAAAAATCCCTTGCCACTGCTGGGAATCGAACCCTGATCGTCCAGCCCGTAGCCCAGTCGTTATACTGACTGAGATACCCCGACTCAAATCATTATGGAAGGTAAACTTAGAAATAAGAGTGTGGGGTTTGAATATTCGACAGAAATACTGTGGGCATACTATCAGGTACTGCTCAGTTTGTGTCAGTAAAGAGAAGTAACTTACTTGTATTCAACCACGCAGGTACATTTTTTGGTAAATACTTTTGTCAAAAGCACCCGAAAGTGTGTTTGGGCTGTCAGTGCGTAGTGATTTGTAAGGACCACGTCATAACTCAGGCGGTTAATTGCTGGTTTCACACAGCAGTGGCCCGGATTGGATCCTAGGTCAAATCATGTAGGATTTGTTGGACAAAGTGGTGTTTGTGCAGGTTTTCTCTGAGTACTTCGGTTTCCCCTGTAAATTCTCATTACACCAACTGCTCCACACTCATCAGCTATCATCAGGAGCTGGTACAATAGGCCAATTATTGGTCGACGTACCACGTGAACTCAGTCTCACCTCACATCCAGAAACTGAAAACAAACTAGGGCTTTATATGAAGAAGTTTCTTGAAGGCTCGCCTGAAATCCATGTTGAATATGGTATAGATTATAGGGTTTAGAGCAGAGTTGATATACCCTAGCCAAGTGATGAAATATATCAACTTGTCAGACGGACAACAGGAAACACAAAATGGTACAATGACGTACATAAGGAAGAACGGCAACCAGCACACCACGAACACACCCATGATAATCCCCAGTGTTCTTGCGGCGCGCCGTTCTTTCGACAGCGAAATCCTCTGTTTCTCCTCTATGAACTGGTAAATTGGAAGTTGCCTCTTGGCACCAGAAGGCGGGACGGGGACTGATGCTGAAATTGCAGAAGGGGGTGCATTCCCTCTCTGACATTCATTTCTTGATTTGGGCGATTCTGTCGTCGTTGTGTTTGTAGGTGGCGTCTGATTCTCCTCACCGCAATGATTTGAGCTGTCAACACACTGTGACCCCGATGGAGGATCTCCCATATTGTCCGTAACGGAATCTTCGGCTACTATGATCGGCTTCTGAAGGAATCTGTCTTTCAAGGAACCATCACCGATATTCTTCTTCCTCTTCTTCTTAGATTTCTTTTTCTTTTCCTTTGTCTTGGTGTTCCCATCACAGAGATGTGGATGTTCGTTGTGGTTCGTCTCGCTGCTTACGGAATCTTGATCATTGTGCACGACCTTTCCGGACATGTTTTGTGCCTCGCTGATTTTGACAACATTTAGTTTGGACGCGAGAGCTCTCTCTCTTAATCTCCTCTTTGTTGCTATGAAGATCTCTACATAAACAACAGTCATGATAAACAGTGGAATAAAAAAGGAACCAAGAGAGGAATAAACAACGTATCCTTGTTGGGACGTGAGTTGGCACGGGGTATCATTATGGAATACTTCTGGCCAGTCATTCCAACCAATGAGCGGTGGAGAACTGATAACTCCAGAGAGTACCCATACAACTCCTATCATGAAAAGAACACGTTTTAGAGTTCGTTTCTGTGCGTAGTTAATCGGATCAGTTATTGCCCAGTATCTGTCCAAAGCTATGGCACACAAATTTAATATAGAAGCAGTACAACAAAGTACGTCACAAGTTAACCACAATTTACACACGTGTATACCGAATTCCCAGCGTCCTAGAATTTGAACAGCAACACTAAATGGTAATACCAATAACGCTACAGTTAGATCAGCAACTGCCAGTGATACTATGAAGAAGTTCTGAACTATTCTCAGCGGTTTGTGCGTGAAGACACTTAGAATAACTAGAATGTTGCCAACCACGGTGAGAAGGATGATGGAGGTGAGCGTGAGGGCTGTTACTGCAGCCTCCCACTCAGGAACTGCTAGGGCCACACCCAAACTACTCCCGTACTGCACTTTCGCCTGGCTACAGTTCTTTTCCTCAGTTCCGTATGTGGTGTCGTTATTCCAGTCCGATTCCATTTTGAACGCTATTTACACGTTTTATTCTGAATACAATTAGAAGAGAACGGTGTAGTGACTAATGTTACGAAGGTCTGTTGAGTACACGTAATTATTATAAAATTTTCGTTTCACATGTTTTAATTTATACGGGGCTGATGAATCTGCGTGATGAATCCTTCTGTATTTAGACATGAAATTCTTGAGCTACCACACGTTTCATAAAAACGGTTAGATATAACTCTATATGCAATATCTTGTTACTCAAGAGGGCTATGTGAGCGGTTGTTGTGTTTTGTAGTATATCATAAAAATTTATATAATAAAGTTATGTTATTTCATACGAAAATTAATTTACATTCTTCGTCTATTCCAGAAAGTGACTAAGGTACGTAATGAAGTAGAGATCACGGATGTTTAAAATTCTTTCTTTCCATTTTCATATCTGAGTGTTATACCCAAGAAGTTTCATATGATTACTACAACACGAGGAATGTGATAATTTGTTTTTCCGTTGAAACAGGGAAGTCGAGAGTGCAGAGGTATTTTCCGCCGCATAAAGAAAAGGAGGCGTGGTTGTTCTGTTACAATCCATCGGTCTTGTAGGCAGTAGGAAGGGGTATAGATGTTACACAGGTTGTTAGTTTCCTCCACCACCACCACCACCACCACCACCACCACCACCAGTACTTCCGAGGGTTACTGCCAACACCATCACCAGGACCACAGAATGAGCTCAGTTGTCAGGATTGCCTGAAAGTACAAGAGCACGAGAAACTTAATTAGACCATGAGATCTGTTAAGCATTTCTGATCCTGAAGGCACAAATGCGAGGGTCATGGCATCGAAGACAGAGATAAATGAGGACAAGTAAAGGAAGATTCGGAAAAGAGAGATAGGATATGAAAAGAAGGAAAAGGCGAATAGGAGAAGAGGACAAGGAAGGAGAAGAAAAAGGAGAAGAAAGCTAGAAGGAGGAAGAAGGAATGGATAAAACGGAGCAGGAAAAGAGGAAGAGGAAAATGAGGAGAATAGGGGGCGGAGGAGGAAAAGTAGGAAAGGGAGAGAACACGGAGAAAGAGATAAAAGGAGAGAGAAGGAAAATAAAGAAGAGGAAAATAATGAAGAGGAATGGAAGGCTTATTCATGATGCCTTGGGTCCTAAAGAGCTAAATAAATAAACTTCTGTATTCTGTGTTCTCTGCAAAATGTTAATACAATATTGCAAATTTTTAAAGCGTTAAGGTTACTCTACTTGTATGTATGGATACCACCTGCATCATCATTTTTTTCCTTTGACACTACAGCCCCAGTGGGCCTAGGCCTACCTCCATGAAATTCTCCGTTCACTTCGGTTTTTCTAGATCTTACACATACGGTAGGACTCCTTGGGCGAGTGATCAGCTCGTCACAAGGCCTCTACCTGTAGACAAACACAGAAAAACGCACACAAACATCCATGCCCTGAGTGGGATTCGAACCCACGATCCCGGCTTCCGAGCGAGCGAAGACAGTGCATGCCTTAGACCGCTCGGCTACCGTGACCGGCGCATCATCGTTAAGAAAATGTATTTTGTTGCTGGAATGTATGATCCTCATAACAAACAGATATATTGCCTTTTTTAACCAGCTAGGGTTTTAATAGTGATGCAGTGTGTTTAGCTAAGGTTCAGTCATAGCTCACAAGGGAAAGATCCATCTACTCGTTTTAGAATATGGTCTTGAGGGCCAGAAGGGACTCGACAACGAGATGGACTAATTCACGGACCGTCAGAGATGTAAATGTCTGTTATGAATACTTCAGCTCTTTCGAGATTTAATTACTCTTAAATAATATATAAATGTTCAGTTCGTACCTCGCAGGAAACACATTACGTATCCTTTACAAAGACCAACCGGTTAATGCTGTTTAGGGAAACAATCGCTGTTTACTGTGAGAACCATACGGAACACAGATACACTCTTTGGACAGAGTACAGATTTTTATTATGTTAAAGCAGATGGTACATATACTAACCACTGGATTTTTAAAGGGTTAAGTATATAGCATAATCGATCAATATTAGCTATTGGATTAGTTATCAAATTTCTGCACATTTATCCTGAATTAACATGTAGGTATATCTGACGGGCCGCTGTTGGTTCAAGCAACGATTAAGGTCGTGGACAAATCTTCATAATCTTCCCTTTACTGACGTAACGAATATTGATTTATTGTTTTGTTCGTGAATTAAACACACCTCACTGATCTCCAGTTTCAGCCTATACTTAATCACGCTGTCACCAACTCAGGCTGCAGGGCGCCTAGTGACTGCATGATAGTGAATAATCAACCAGAAAGGATCTGGAAGGAAGCGATTGTGGTATAATTTAAGGTACTAGTTCATTTTCCTGGAGAGACTGGAACGAATCAATAGCTGAAATTAGGCCACCACCAATTCCTAACACATTATTCTCAATTCATTATTGCTAACTCTATAATTTCACTCTACATACGAGTATAATGAGTTCTTTAAATAAACTAAGATAAATAAATAAATTCATAACTTAATTAATAACCCCCCCAAAAGTTGACTCAACCTTGTCGTGGTGGTGGGGCTTGCGTGACTCTGTGACCCGGAGAGCTATGCTGGCGGTAGTTTTACTGCCGATAGAGTCACTCATGCCCGAAATGTCAAAGGGTAGAATGGGAATAAGAGAAAACCCCTGGTTCTCCAGGTTGGTAGTTGGACAGCAGCTACTAACCTCATCCTATAAAAATAATTTTTGTTCAGAAACCTAACAAGCAGCCTAGGATAAGTGGAAAGAATGAGGAATAGAGAGCAGTGGAGACCGTTTGTAGTGGAGGCTAAGGCTCACCCAGGGCTGTAGCGCCGATTGGTAGGTATGTAATCAATAAACAAACGCCGAAGATGTCATTGGATTTTTCAATTGACCTAATCCTTCCAGCCGCACTATGGCCCTGGAGTCGACTCAACATCTAACAGAAATGAGTACCAGGAATCTTCCTGGGTGGTAAAGAGAGGCCGGCACATAACGCTGAGACCCTCGCAGCCATCTGTGAGCCAATTGTATAGATAATGTGGGACCTTCAACGTCTCAGAACCCTTTGGACCTTCAACGTCTCACAACCCTATGGACCTTCAAGACCTGTTACAATGATAGTTTTACTTTTTTTTACACACAAATATGTTGGTGGATAGGAGGTCCCATTTGAAACCACAAGAAAGATAAAGGGTTCTTACGTAACCTTGTTTAAGGCAAACACTGGCACAGACCAGAAGCTTTGTGCTTAGGTTTTGTAAGCCCCGGCGTTAGTAATGAATTGTGTTCAAATTTCCAGAGCTTCCAGCTGTTGACAACAATTAACATTAATTGCATTATGTACATCTAGATCTGATGACATCACAGAATTAGCCTGCGCACCATTACGTCAAGATCCACTGGGGGGATCCAGCTTTGCTAATTGCAATAGCGGCAATAGTCTTCATATGAAGGCCGCTGAACCGAATCGTTGCGTCATGCATACTTACAACAAAGGGTAGCATTCCTAGATTCAGAGGGTTGCGTACAGCTGTGTTCTCTCTTTCTATCCTGAAGATGGAGGCATTATGTTCCTCGGAACAGCTACAAGGTTACAAGGTGTCATGACTCGGGGTACCAAAATATTTCTGTGCGATGTGATTTGCACGCAGTGGTAACTATGAAGAATAAGTTCTTCTGGAGTGTAACATCGTATAACCTGGTAGTTCACCAATGTTTCGGAGGACCATATCTCCTCCATCTTCAGGGTTGAAGAGACCTTACCGAACATTTTTAATATTGTGACATGACGCCTGAAAGCCGGAATATTTCATTATTCGGCAACGGCTTGGTAAACAGTTTCCCGCTTAAATTAATACGCACGCAACAATAGAAGAATCCGTATATGAACAGAGGATCGATAAACACACAATAGATGCACTGTTGTAAACGGCGTTTTCTATTAGGTCCGTGTAAAGTGGTTATAAAGAAAAGTTCAAGTTGTGGAAAGTCAGTGACTGCCGTGTGAAGACGGGTTCGAATGCCTCCACTGTAGCCCTGAGAGTCGTAGGAGGCGATGAAAAGGTAGCTCAATGCCTGGGGGTATAACTGCACCACCCTGTTCCTGGGGGATACAAATACAGAAAGCTGGCCCCTTCAGGTTCGGGGATCTCGAATCTGAGACAGTAAAATGTGTTTATGAGTCCCACGGACTCAGACCAGAGAATGACTGCCCTGGCGAGGGCCAACTGCAATTGTAAACGGCAGACCCGTTTCCTCGTCAGAGAGGGTGCCCCACATCAACAAGTCTATAATTGTCATACAGTAATTAAAGATCTGGTCTCAAGCATCAGATGGGTGCTTCATTCCAAGACAGACTGGCCCACTGACCATCGGTCATAACGTAACTTTGACTTTGACTTGAAAAGTCAGTTCAGTACCGGAGTTCCAAATGAGCGGTTAGTTCAGAATTGACGGATTTTCTTTAAACGGCAATCGAAGATGATGGAGAAGCGATGACAGCGAGTTCAGTTGAAGAATTTATGTATGCTGTAGTTACAGTGAGACTCTTATAAATCCGTTGCCAAGATACGACTAGTAATAACTGAGAAACCTAGTGTGTGTTAACGGTAAACTATAAAGTGTATATATAGATCATCGATAGCGCTGTAACCACTTGTAGTTACGGATGGCGTGTGTAGGTGGTCAGTACATCCAATATGCAATCCAAACCCCGTCTACAGTCACCCCTTCATGTGACAATATTACTTGGCCCTGTTTCTTGCCAATGTGCGCACATGAAAAATTAATGTGGATTATTTTCTTCTAAATGCGCCTGCCTATGAACAGAACAAAGCCAGTGGAAATGGTAGACTACTTGTGTTTATATGGAATGACAGGAAGGCATCTTCGGACTTGAACACAAGCGGACACATGATAAACGGTCATCTACAGATGCCACAGAATCTGTTAGACGTAGTCGTACTGCCGTCCGCAGAATACAGAATCAGCTATGGAGACGTGATTAGAGTGCGGAAATGGAACAACTTCGGACCACTTGACTGTCTGAGTTGCAAGGGATTACCTCAAGATCGTGGGCGCGCGGTCTATACCGTCTTTCAGCCTCTAAGAGAGGAAGCTTCCTGTTCCTGACGTCATTTTTTTTTATAATTGAAGGAGTGGGGTGAGACTGGATTCAGTTGGTACACTGGCCACTAGCCCGCCTATTGTAGCAGCTCTGGATGATTGATGAATGTGGAAAATTGTGTAGAATGAAAACTGGCATGGGAAACCTAAGCAGTAGAAGAAAATATGCTCCAGTTAATCATAAATACCAGATGATCTCATCTCGGATCGAACCCGGGCTTCCGTGGTGGGAAAGGGACGTATAACGGCCTTATGTCATGTCAGATCAGTCAGTATTCTTTCTGTACTAAAGCAAGAGGGAACCAATACAGGTTTTTGTTATCTAATGCATTTTTCCTTAAATCCTTGCCTCGAATGCTATTTATAAGAAATTGAAATTGAGAGGGGCTATAAAGGAGCCGGGATAGCTCAGTCGGTATAGCGACCGTCTACGCGCTGGACGGTGGAGGGGTCGAAGT